AGCCTGACTCATCTATATGTTGTTTACAAGAGACCCACCTCACAATAAAAGACTCACATAGGTTGAAAGTGAAGGGATGGAAAAAAATCTTCCAAGCAAATGGAAAGCAAAAAAAGCTGGGGTAGCAATACTCATATCTGATAAAATAGATTTAAAAATGAAGGCCATAACTAGAGACAAAGACAGCCACTACATAATATTGAAAGGATCTATCCAACAGGAAGATATAACCTTGATAAACATATATGCACCCAATATAGGAGCAACAAAATATATTTAAAATCTTCCGGAGGACTTCCAAGGAGAAATAGACAGCAATACAATCATAGCAGGGGACTTCAACACCCTGCTGACATCACTGGATAGATCCTCTAGGCAAAAAATTAGCAAGGAAACAAAGACTCTAAATGAAGCACTAGACCAAATGGATTTAATAGATATCTACAGAGAATTACACCCCAAAACTATAGAATTCACATTCTTCTCAAGTGCACATGGGACATTCTTAAAGATAGACCACATGTTAGGACACGAACTAAGTCTCTACAAGTTTAAGAAGATTGAAATCATATCAAGCATCTTCTCAGATCACAATGGCATGAAACTAGAAATCAATTGCAACAACAACATGCAAAGACATTTGAACACATGGAAACTAAATAGCATGTTATTAAACAATGAATGGTTTACCATGGAGATCAAGGAAGAAATTAAAAACTTCCTGGAAACCAATGAAAATGAAGACACAACAACACAAAATCTATGGGATGCAGTGAAAGCAGTTCCGAGAGGGAAGTTCATAGCACCACAGGTCTACCTCAAGAAACAAGAAAAATCTCTAATAGACTCTCTAACCTCACAACTTAAAGAACTAGAGGGCAAAGAAAAAGAAAACCCCAGAGCAAGTAGATGGAAGGAAATAGTAAAGATCAGAGCAGAAATAAATGACATAGAGACCAAAAAAACAATTCAAAGAATCAATGAAACAAAGAGCTGGTTTTTTTGAAAAGATAAAAAAGATTGATGGACCCTTAGCTGGACTCACCAAGAAACAAAGAGAGAGAACCCAAATACACAAAATCAGAAATGAAAGAGGAGAAGTAACAACTGACACCACAGAAATACAAAAGATTGTTAACAACTACTATGAACAATTGTATGGCAACAAATTTGACAATCTAAGCAAAAGAGACAAATTTCTAGAAACACATAGTCTCCCAAAACTGGACCAGGAAGAGATAGAAAACTTGAACAGATCAATAACAACTAAGGAAATTGAAGAGGTAATCAAGACTCTCCCAGCAAACAAAATCCCAGGCCCAGATGGCTTCACGGGGGAGTTTTACTGAACATTCAAAGAAGAACTAACACACATTCTCCTCAAACTATTTCAAAAAACTCAAGAAGAAGGATGACTTCCAAACTCGTTCTATGAGGCCAGCATAATTCTAATTCCAAAACCAGAAAAAGACACTACCAAGAAAGAAAACTACAGGCCAATATCCCTGATGAACATAGATGCCAAAATCCTGAACAAAATACTAGCAAATCGGATCCAGCAATACACCAAAAAAATTATCCACCATGACCAGGTAGGATTCATCCCAGGGATGCAAGGCTGGTACAATATTCACAAATCAATAAACTGATACAACACATAAACAAAATGACGAATAAAAACCACATTATCATATCAATAGATGCTGAAAAAGCCTTTGACAAAATCCAGGACCATTTCTGATAAATACGCTCAGCAATGTAGGAATAGAGGAATCATATCTCAACATAATAAAGGCCATATATGAAAGACCTACAGCCAACATCATATTCAATGGGCAAAAACTAAAAGCATTTCCCTTAAAAACAGGAACAAGACAGGGATGCCCACTTTGGCCACTCTTATTTAACATAGTACTGGAAGTCTTAGCCACAGCAATCAGACAGGAAGAAAAAAACACAGCAATCTAAATTGGAAAGGAGGAAATGAAGCTGTCATTATTCGCCAATGACATGATACTATACTTAGAAAACCACAAAGACTCCATCAAAAATTTACTAGACTTAATAAATAAATTTGGCAGGAATAAAGTGCTCCTTTACAGTTTGGCTGTGAGTCTCTGGTTATCTCGCTGACACATTATAACATACCCAAGTTTGTATTCTGGCTCTGTATCTTACCAGGTGTAAGACCTTGGGCAAGTTAATTTAATTTATCCAGGACTCAGTTATCACATCTCTAACATGGGAGAATAATAATATCTTTATTCCAGGGCTGTTGTGAGACTTAGAGATGAGAAACATGGCGTGTAATAGGAACCATCGTTATGATGACAACGTCTCCCCAAATAGTCATCAGGCTCTGTTTGGACCTTCAGAGATGAGAAACCACTTAAGATGTCTCACGCAGCTTCCAGAATTGGGACGTTGCTCATGTTCTGCCAAAAGATACCCTTGCAATTATTTAGATAAGTTGCCATGTTGTTTGGCCTCAGATTCTGCCATCACCATAATTCTCTGCAGTGATAGAGAAGGAAGTTTGGTGATTGGCATCTGGGCTCCCACAGAGGAGCCCCTCTTCTGTGAGCCATTTCTCTGCCTGCTCTTCTCTGCAGAAGTTTTTCAGTGTAGATGTTTCTCAGCTGGAACAGGGGCACATGGTTTGGGTAAATGAAATTAGTGCATTACTAAGGAAATATAATGAGCTATGCAGAATCCAAGTCCTTGGTATTTGTAAAGAAATGTCATAGGATATGTGCTCCAGCACTTTCATTCTAATTGGGGTGGTGGTGGTGGGGGAGGCAGATGGAGATTATGTAGAATCATTATGTAGAAAATGTAGAATCATTAAAAAAAACAAAAAAAAACCCACAAAGCAAAAAACAAACAAAAACAAGACAACCCACCAAGGATAATGGTCACGCTTTCTGGTTTTATGCTCAGTACCAAACATTTAAAATTTCTTTCAAGTACAAATATCTGCAGAAAAATCTGCAGCTCAGAGGAGCTCAGCTAAGGAAAACTACACAAACCCCGTACAGTTATAATCCCAAATATGGCCTTTTGCTGCGCTGCCCTCTGGGATGGAGGCAGCAGACAGATGGGGCTCTCTGTACTGTCTGGGAGAGTGTGGGGCCCCATGAGTGTGTGACACCTCCCCAAACATACATTTGAGAACTTGGTGAACTTGGTGAACTTGGAGAGTCATCTTAACTCTCCCAGGTCTCAGGTTTCCACTAATAAAACTGGAATAACATATATTTAAGAATTTTTGTGGTTCTGAGTTAATATGAAACTAACTTTTCTGGAATTGGGAAAAACATCAGAGGCACACTAATAACAGAGCCAGGAACTGGTCAGCCTTAGACAGCTATTAAGTGGTCAAATTAGGGTTTGAACCCAGGTCTGTCTGAATCACTAAGTTAATGCTTTTTTCACTTAAAAAGATTATGTTTCCTTGAGTCCTAAAGATTAGAGAAATGGAAATACTGGTGGTAGCCATTAGTTCTTTTGTTTAGCAGATATTTATTAAGCACCTACAATTGCTAGACCCTGTGTTAGGAGGTGGGAAGACAGCGGGAGCAAATATAAGGGCGTTACTGTTGTTGTTCTTCGTGGCTAAAAAGAAATGCAAAAATACATTTTGATCTTCCTTAAAGTTATACAGCCCTTTACACTTTCCAGGCTCTTCAGGTTCATTACCTTATTTTAATCTTTACAATGAGAGAAAGAGAGCTAGTAGTATAGATAATATTATGCCCATCTTCCAGATAAGAAAACTGAGGCTCAGAAAAGTCATGTACCGGAACTTAAGTCTTCCCAGGCCATGTCCAGTGCTTGTATGTTCTATGAGGCAGCCTCTTGCATTCAGAAAGAAAGCATACTTCCTGTTTAATGAATCCAATACTTATTTTGTTCACTTGTTTGTGTGATGCCAAGTAGCTCCAATGGCAGTTCATTTTCCTCTCGGCTTTGTAGGCACAGGCAGGGGAGCCTGAAACGTCCCTGGACGGAGGCCTGCTTTGTAGACAGAACTTCCAGGCGGGTGCCTCAACCCAGGCAGCAGTGATGGGTCACCGCCTCTCAACGGGGGCACACTGTTTTGGATAGGATGTGCCACTAGTTCAACTCAACCTGCATCCACATATACAGTGTCGAAAATAGTCCCAGCTTCAGGACTGCAATTTGGGGGCCCTCCGCTTAACCCACAGACTTCTCCAAGGCTGCACCATGTTTGAAGAGAGGCACAAATGAACAGAAATGAACAGAGTGGGAACACCCCCCTCCCCCCTCCCCCAGAGTCCATGTCAGCTGAGAAGCAACTAGGAGACCAGGGAGGTTTTGCCTGCACAAGAGAACACCTGGGTGGTTGAGGGAGGGAGAGGGGGAAAGATACTGATTTAATATTCATTGTGTGTCAGGCACTATGCAAGGGTCTGAAAATAGGTTTGTATTCTTGTCCTCGTGGAGCATATGCTAAATTATACATATAATGGCTTACGTTTTTCTTTCTTTGTCCTCACTGAGGATATATTTATTAAGAGAGAACGAGGAAGGGAGAGAGAGAAACATCGATTGATTGTCTCCCATATGCACCCTGACAGGGGTTCGAGCCTGCAACCTCGGTATGTGCCCTGACTGAGAATTGAACCTGCAACCTTTTGGTGTACGGGACGATGCTCAATCAGTTGAGCCACCCAGTTAGGGCTGGCTTACATTTTTTTGAGGGCTTGTCTTGGTCAGATACTGCCCTGAAAGCCTCATGTAAATGATCACACGTAATCCCCCAAACCCTCTGTGCGTCAGCTATTATTATTATCATATCCATTTGGCCGGTGAGAAAACAGGCACAAGAGGTAAAGAACTTGCTCAAGGTGTTAAGACCAGTGACAACGGGAAGCTGACCCTGTGCTTTCCGGCTGCAGCTCCTGTGTGCTTGACCACCAGGCTTACTGCCCTGCTGGAGTCTAAGGAGACAGCCACAGTGTGTGGAATTCTTGCATGCATGGGTTTGGATTTATGGCAGGCCCGACCCCCTGGGTCTTTCCTAGTGCCCTATGCCAGAGCAAACTGTGGCCTTGAACCATTGCCTGGCTTCTGCCTGTGGGCTGCTGGCCCCGAAGCAGGTCGCACAGTGGAAAAAACCCCACAGAACCTTGCACACGCGCTATTCCCTTTGATCCTCTCAGCAGCTCTGCGAGGGACCTGCGCTCACCACCATTTTACAAACGAGGGACCAGTGAGTTGGGGAGAGGAAGGCATTTTCCCAGCAGCCTAGTGTCCCAGAGCCTGGCCTGCAGCCCTCCACGAGACCCAGGGTGCAGGGTCTCCTTTGTGCTGTATTATAAAAGTTCCCTGCAGTGAGCATGTATTCTTTTCTAACCACAAACAGCAGTAACAAAGCAGAGAAAGTGGCCTTTTCTCCTCTCTGTTTTCTGTGGTTAGCTCTCAGCTAACTACAGGTGAGGGTGACCTGTATTTTGGAGGTGGCATCCAGGACACTGTGATCATGCCATCTGGGGGAACAAGGTGCTCTTTCGTTTTCATTTACAAGCTCATGCTTGTGGATTGTGTGCTGTGGAGAACTCGGCAGCAAGTGACTCAGAACCACCCCAGTATTTCCGGACACTTTCCCTCCTGTGTGCCAGGTGGGCGGAGGGACCTCAGAGCAGCAGGGTTTGTCTCTTCTTATCCACTTACCTTAGGGCAGGTTGCTCTACCTTGAAAACAACAATCAACTTGATCCAATCACTCACTTTTTTCTTTTTCTGCAGTTTGGTGATTACCTTCTAATGTTACCAGTGGGAGGGACGAGCTTCTGTGGTTTATAGAGCTAGGGGAGGTGAGAGGCCATTTGGACAGATTCTCCCAATTTTACAAAGAAAGAACCACAGGGTAACAACCGGAAGAGACATGACTTGCTCTCTTATGAGTAGTATCACCCCTGGCGCTTGTTCTGCTACCTACATACCTCTCAGTTCTCCTGGTCCAACTCCCTTTAAGACAGAATAAAACAGATGCCAGGAATGCACATGACTTGTCCAAGGCCAACAGCGAATAGTACATGGACTAGAAATCAGGTCTTCGAGCTCCCAGTTCCAGCAGCTGTGTACTAGCCAGGTGAGGACATTATACGCTGTGCCCAAAGCAGAGGAAACACACATGAAACAATCATGCCTACAAGACAGGGAGAGTGAGAAAGACAGAGACAGAGGAGAGAGAGAGAGAGAGAGAGAGAGAGAGAGAGAGAGAGAGAGAGAGAGATTGATTTTCTAAAAGTAGGTACAGATTTTCTTAGGGACAGAGCAACTGTTGTGGGAAAGTGAGCTCTCCAGGGGAACGGAGTCCCCGCTGCTATCAGAGAATTGGGATGAACCATCTGAGTAACAGAAAAAAAATTCTGGAGCTCCAGGAGGAGTGACTAATTTTATAGGTTTCTCCAAAAGCCACCCTAAGACAAGGGCTTGGGTGCAGGTAATGTGTCCGGGCGGTGACCCCAGGAAGCACCGGTGAAGACCAAGGGAGAATAATAGGGGAGGGAGAAAGCCACTGAAGGTGCTTTAGTGAGGAGGTTCCACTGTGGACACTCCCAAAAACAGGAGCTCAAGTGAACATATCTCAGAACTGCCTCATTGGAGTCTGGGAGGCTGGAGTCTGTTTCCAGGCGCTGTCCCTCGCTGGTTGAGGACTGTCCGTGGCTGGCACTTCCGGCCTGCCCTGGATGAAGGGAACAAGCTCTGCGTGCCTGCTGGGAAAGCCCGCAGGCGGAGGAGGAGGTACGGGCAGAGCTGCAGTGCTCTGGAAACTGTCTGTTGCACCTGTTGGTGGACTCAGAAGTAGATGAAGGGTCTGTGGGCGGGGACTGTTATAGGGCATGATTCGTACTGAAGTCATGGAGACAGTGGACGCCTGCTCTCTCTGTCACCTGTTAAATAAACAAAATATCTGGCACCAGTGGATATTCTTGGGGAGACAAGTGAAGGGACTGAGGCATCGGGGGCCATGTGGAACACAGCAGGCAGTCACACAGTCCCTGGAGCTGGATCGTGAGTGTGCGAACCTCAGGAATTGGCAAAACCCTAAGCAGAGCCTCACCCACTTCGGCAGGCTGGGGGACTAGGTCTCTAGGGGCATCTGGGTTACACACATAGCTCTTCTGTGGCCACTCCAGGCACTGAAGCAGACTATGTGGGGATGGGTGAGGTTTTCTCCCACTGGAAAGGACCCCTGTGGACTGACAGCAGCCCCCCTCCCTTCCCGCTGTGCCCAGAACAGCCGCTTGCTCTGTGAGTAGTTCTGGGTTCTTGCTGCTCACTCCTCATTCCCAGGAGGCCAGCAGGGCACTTGAGGCGTCAGGAAACTTACCAGCTGAGATGAGCCCTTCATGGATGGCAACTTCACACTGAGGGACGGCACCTCACGCAGACAGACAGATACTTGTGGTGAAGCCCAGTAGAAAGGAGGCAATGAGAGAGCTCCTCCTGGCCAAGGCACTGAGCTTGGACACCGGTTCCCTTTCTCTGGGACAAATGTCTGCTGATGTGACATGGGTGGGGTGGTGGGAAGATAAACTCAATTCTCTCTCTTTTTTAAGCGAAGGAAAGGCTGCAAAGACCTCAGAGTAAAGCCAGGCAGAGGAGCCTGACTCCTTCGTGCACCATGTGTCTGTCCCTCAGCTGCGAGGCCCCAGACAGTGACTGACACAGCTGGGCTGGGAGCGTGTGGCCTCTCTCCTCTTGGCCCAATGGATGGCAACACAGGTCCCCGTTGTCTCTTCCCCTGCTCTTTCATCATTTACTTCCCTGTCATCTGTCAGTACCAGCACCCAGAGCAACTGGACCAATACCCAGAGAGGCAGAGAGAGGCTCTGTGTGCTGAACAGAACAGTGTGCTGGGCTGGGAGGCAGAGGACCTGGGTTCACACCTTTATTCTGCCACAAACTGGCTCTCTAGGCCACATTGTCCTTGTCCACAAAGCCAGAGTCAGACCAGAGATCTCTACCTCCTCTTGCACACAAGGAGGTAATGCGACCTCATTTTATTTTTCCCTGGGAAGCTGATCTGAGGTTGAAGCTCTACTCTGATAAAAGCCTTTGTCACTCACTCTAGCTGCTACTTCGGCCTTTTTATGGGTCAGATAACCTATAGGTGGTTTTCTCATCTATAAAACCAGATGATAAAGACCGCTCTGCCTAACTCAGAGAGTCTAAGGGGAAAGATTAGGTGAGATAACGACCGTAAAAACTGCTATAAATGGTCGGGGATGTCATTCATTCATTATCAGGTGATTAGGAGCATTTATGTCTATGTTGGTTCCTGAGACTATGAAAATGAGAGTCCCTACCCACTTGGGGCTTTCAATTTGATGTGGATATTTACAAATAAGTACATCATTAAGGCATTGTGACATCCTATAAATTACCGACTCACCCTATCATAGCAATTACAGGTTATCATGCTATGAGAACGTAAAAGACTTGGTGGTGTCTAACGGCAGGCCCACACACACCTAACAAGAGAGTGATACGTTTATCAAGTCACCAAACACAGAATCCCTGCCCAGTACATGTGTATTTCTCTCCTGGTTGAGGCATATGCCTCCCTGGCTCCTACGTCACTGTTTGTTCTCTCTGTCCCCTGTAGCTCCTCCTTTCCAGGCCACTGTGACGGACCACGTCTACTGTCCTTTCTTGGGCAAACATCCCATAAAGGGAGTGGGTCATCTTCCCAGGAAGTACAGGCTGTTCTTGTGTGCGCACAGCCTCGGGAACCAGGTGTCTGCTAAGCCTAACATTGCTTCTTTGTGTCTATAGTATTTCTGAGGTCATGACACACCAAGACAAGGGAGCCCAGAGATCCCCATTCTCCATCTGCCCCCTAGAGATGCAAAACTTCCTTCTATCTGCCAGGTGTATAAAGAGCCGTGCACTGGCCCAGCCCCGTGGCCAACACCACCTCCTACCAGATGGCAGGAAGCAAGCCTGCAGGAGATCCTAGGAACTGCTTCTTTAAGAACCTTGAGCTGGTGGGAAAGGCCAGATTGATGGTAACAGGCAGTGCGACTAGTCCCAGGAGTGCCCAGAAGAGAGGAGGCCCCCGAGAAGCATGTATTTATCCAGCCCTGGTCTCTTCTGCCAGTGCTACTGTATCTACTCGACTCATCTTTCCCCACAAAGACTCCTAAGGCATCCCTGCGCCCTTAGTTTTATGGCAGAAGCTCTCTTAGCTGACCTTCACGTTACTGCCTTGCCAAGAAAGCTGGGGCTCACTATTTCCTCTGTCAGTGTTCTGACCGGCACCTGTGGAAGGTGGGTCCTTGCACCTAATAGGCTACTTTCTGGTTTGCATGTAGACTTTACCTCACACTAACTGAGTTACTAGTTATTAGTTATTGTTTACTGAGAGTCAGTTCTATTTGTTTCTAAATTGTTTAGTTCCATTGTCGTTATTGTTGTTACATGATTCAATAAGACATTGTATAAATTGATGAAATTTATTTCAAAAAAAGCTGAGTTATATTTTTCAAAGCTTCAATAAAAGTGAAGAGTTTATAAAAATTGCTGTCAAAGGGATAGGAGAAAGAACTGGACATGATGTGATAGATATTGCTCATGTCCCACAGGCCAGAATGTGGTCACATGGCCATGCCTAGCATTATGCAAGCTGGGAAATGTAGTCTTTATTCTAGGAGGTCACAGGCCCAGCTAAAATTTGGGTTTTCTTACTTCAAGAGAGATTGGGAAAAGGGGTCTTGGGGACAATCGGCAATTTCTGCCATAGTACATATGAAGTTTTTAAAAATAAGATGTGACCATTTAAAAAAAATTAACTGATGGATTCTTGCACCAGAGAGCCTCAGACAAGAAGCCTCTACTGTATAATTCACCTTCCTGGGACTCTCTTCTGCCTAGGTGCTATTCAGCCTTTGTTCGTTCATTCAGTGGCTTTTATGCATTTGTTTATTTAGTCCATAGGTGTTTATTGTTGTGCAAGGCACCAGGCTCTGAGGAAATGGTGACAGGCAAGGAAGACGGGCTGCCTTCTGTGGTTCACTGCCTAGTCGGGATCCTGCATAAGCGGTGTGACAGCCATATACAGAGTCCTGTGGGGGCACACAGGAGAGGACGAGGGTTAGAG